TTAAATGTAGTTAAACAATCAAACCCAGATAAACAGGTTATAAACCCAGATAAACCTAGATAAACAGTCAAACCCAACCTCAGGTTATAAAGACGATAGGAATATCAAAAATACTAGTGAAACAGAGAGAGAATGAGAGCGAGCTAAGATGGAGGGTAGGAAAGAAGGACAGAGAGAGAGAGATAGCAGAAATCTTACCTTGCGAGCTGAGACTGGAGAACAGTGTCGGGAGCGAGCGAAGAAGAAGGGTAGGAAAGAAGAAGAAGAAGAGAGAGGGGGAGGGAGAGAGATAAAGAGGGAATGAGGAGGAGACGTGGGTGAGAACAGAGAAGGGAGAAAAGAGAGATAAAGATAGAATGGAGAGGAGACGTGGGTAGGTGAAAGTCTAAATGTTTGGGCGGGAACTACATAGATCTGAGCCATTGAAATATACTCAGGATTGATATAGATCATTGATTTAAAATGTATCTCTAATACATTTTATATATTTTCAAAAATCCTTCTGCTTTATTATATAAATGTTGAAGATTCGTATATGGTCTAAATTTATGAAGTCCATTAGGTATTCAATATATTTAAAAATAATAATTAATTGCTCAAATTCATTTAATTTGTGGACTATAAAATTCATTAATTTAATCTCCACTATACATAGTAAAATCTGGCTCCCAATTTTGGAATTGTAGACTTTTCCATGTAATATGAATAAAAATAAGTGAACAAAAAAGAGAACAAAAAAAAAAACAAATAGAGAGAAAAATAAAAATGGAAGAAAATAAAAAAAATAAAAAGAAAAGAGAGAGAGCAATGTGGGATCATGGGATCATGGAAAGATGGGTGGGAAAAGGAAAAAGTAAGAGAGAGAAGCGGGAAAATAGAAAATGTACATGTAGGATATTTTTAAAAAAAATATATCTCAGCTGTTGTTTTATAATTTAAATAGATTTGAGCCGTCCAAATGTCGTAGTAAAACAAATGTGTGTAGGACAAATTCAAAAATCATCATACTTTATTATATACATGGTGAAGATTCATATAAGGCCTAAATTTATGAAGTCTATCGGATATTCAATATATTTAAAAATAATAATTAATTGTTCAAATTCATTTAATTTGTGGACTATAAAATTCATTAATTTAATCTCCACTACACACAGTAAAATCTAGCTCCTAATTCTGGGGTCGTAGACTTTTCCATGTAATATGAATAAAAATAAGTGAACAAAAAAGAGAAAACAAAAAAAATAAACAAATAGAGAGAAAAATAAAAATGGAAGAAAATTAAAAAAAAAAAAAAAGAAAAGAAAAGAGAGAGGAAGGTGGGATCATGGGATCATGGGAGGATAGGTGGGAAAAGGAAAAAGTAAAAGAGAGAAACGAGAAAATAGAAAATATACATGTAGGATATTTTTTGAAAAATATATCTCAGCCGTTGTTTTATAATTTAAATAGATCTGAGTCGTCCAAATATCCTAGTAGGACAAATGTGTGTAGGACAAATTCAAAAACCATCCTACTTTATTATATAGATATATATATGGATATTTTGGTCATTTTATCTGAGCTTGTCTTTATGGACAATGTATTTTAGAGTTTAGACTTTTGGCCAAACAACACATAAATTTAGATTTATGGACCAAATGCCCTAGTTAGGCCTATTTTGCCAAGTGGGTTAAAAGTCATTTCCCGACTTTTAACCCACTTTCTCTCTCACATAAAAAAGTCAAAAAAAAAATTTAAAAAATCAACTTTTAACCATATTTTCAAAATATCCTTTAATATTTAGTTTCTAACATTATTTAATCAAACTCTTTTATCTTTTAAGTACATTTTTTTTTTCTTTTTTTTTACTTTTCACCATTTTTTATTTTTACATTTTATATTTTATGTATCACTTGTGCCTCCGCTCGCTACTGACCATTAGCTTTTTGCTTATAACAAACTTTTTTTTTTTTTTGGTTGAAAAATATTATTATATTAGAATTTGTAGATGTGATAATGACATTTGTATAATAAAAAACATATCAATGGACTCTTTATTATAACGTGATAAATCAAAATTTAACTAAATCATTATTAATATTTTTTTTGTATTGATTTTATATTTCTTTTTTTATTTTTTACTTTTAATATTTTGTGACATAATGATATGTGTTAATTGACAATTAGTGTAGAGTATTACTCCAAAATTACCTAATAATTTTTTTAAAATATTTTTATAAATTTGCTTTAATATTTTTATTTGCAGCTGATTTTGTTTAAAAATATCAATTCAAAAACAATTTACATAAATAAATATTTGTTTAATTTTGTTTGAATTGATTTTTGTTTAAAAATATCTACAGTTGTTTAGATTAAAGTGAAGTTACGGCCATAATTACAACACTATAATAAAATTACATTTAATCTATTTTTTCCAAACTATTAAATATGCATAAATATGTACATTTTATTGTTAAAAAATTACTAATGATATATGTTTACCAATTTAATAAATATTTACATAAACAAATTGGTTAAGTGACTTTTCAATTTATGTTGATTGACATAAATCTAACTTGACTTAAAAATAAAGTTAAATTTAAAAAATTTAAAAATACCCTTACATTTTATGATCAACTTAAATTTATCATATTCTATCAATTGACATACTAAATTTTACTAATACGAGAATATTTCTTCTAATGATTTACGGGAGCTTTTTTAATAAGTCCTCTTTTTAAGAGTTTTATTCCATCCAACTCATATTCTTTTTTACTATTCCATTCCATTCTATTTAAGGTAAGAAGACCAAAATACCCTTAATCTCCCCTGCCCCCTATTAATGTTGATATTTAATGTTGATTGTTATTATATTTTGGTAGTTCCCATGCATCAGGACGTTGACTGTCATTATATTCATATTAATTTGAAATAAATTTTTGTCATTGTATTGTCAATTACATGATGTAAATACTCACATTATGTAATTGAAATGAATATTCACATCATTGTATTCACATTAATTTGAAATAAATGTTTGTCATTGTGTTGTCAATTATATGATGTGAATATTCGTACTAAAACATACGAATGTGAATGTGAATGTGAATGTCATTGCATTAGATGAGAGAGAATGTTCACATCACTATATGTTGTGAATAAGAATGTGCTATCAATTAAAAATATAATGAACGTTATTTTTAATGTATTGTCAATTAAAAATAAGAAGGTTCATATGTTGTGAACATTAGATGAGAGAATTTTTCGGAAAGGTGTTGTGAACGTTCACATCAGATGAGAGAAAATATTCACATTATTTTTAATGTGTTATCAATTAAAAATATATTCACATTATATAATAATATAAAATAATAACATCAATGTTATTTAATTTGTATATGAAATTTCCTATACCTTGGTCATTTCCCTTCTCTCTCCAACATTAAATATTAATATTAAATATAAGGGTATAAGAGTCTAAAAAATTAGTATAAAAAAAAAGAACTTTATGAAATAAAAGCATAAATACGTGGGATTAAGTAGGTTAAAAAATTACTTTATAGACTTATTGGGTTAGAACACTTCTAAATGAGATTTATCAATAAAAATCCCATGATTGAATGAAATAATTATAAAAATTTAACTATTTCATTTCAATTTTTTTGTTCCATCATGTTAAAAATAAAGAAAGATAGAAGATGGGTGGGATAGAGAAAGAGAGAGAGAGAAAAAAGTAGATAAAATTGTTAAATTAATTGACAAATTATGATATGGTAAATTATAATTACGAATTTCGTTAATAATATAATTATACTTGAATGGAAGTATAATTTTTGTAATTTTAAAAAATTCATTTGTTTTAATTTTACCAATTGAATTGTTATATAACACTTAGGACGAAATATTAACAGTAAAATATAAAAAAAATTTGTGTAACTCGTGGATTTGGCATGTACCAAAAAAAAATTTCAAAAATCTAAGTTTAAAAAGATTAAACAATTATGGTGAGTTTTACACCTTTGAAAGAGTAAAACAGAAAATTAAATAACAAATAAAAATATTTACATTTTTTTTTATATAATTAAAAAATTCATTCCTAAATACATTAACTTTTATATCTCTTCAAAAATTCAAAAAGTCACTTAAAAGCTAATTTCAAACACTTTTTGTTAGAAAATAAAATTAAAACTTACTTAATATTATTTATTTTTTAATTTTTTAAAAATTTATTTTTATTTAATTCAATAAATAAATTTATCAATTATTATTTAATCATGTGCATAACACAGATAATATACTAATAAATAATTTAAGCAAAGAGTATATAAATTTAAAACTCTTAATCCAAATTTTTTAGATTTTTAAATTAAAAAATTATAAAAATACATGTGTCATGACATCATTGGTCATTCCACTTTAATTATAATTAGTAACTCTTTGAATATTATTGTAATATATTTCAAATTTCATATTCTCAAATCATGTGATTCATAAATAAACAATTTGATCATAAAATAGTATGAATAACTTAAGGTGCCATGTTTTTTTATTTCTTTATAAGAGAATGGCAATAATGTAAGTAAAATGTTGAGTTTGAGATAAATTAGAAAGATCAATTAAGCCTTCGTTTGGGAAGTAGGTTGACTTTTTGACTTTTTAGTTTTTTTGGCTATTTTAACCTGGGTTAAAAAGTTTGGTTTGAGAATGACTTTTTGACTTTTTTTGTGAGAGAAGAATGTAATGATTATGGGTTGGATGTGATATTTTGTTTTTTGTGACTAAAATAGCCTATTTTGTCTTTTGTAACTAAAATAGCCAAAAAAGTCCCGTTTAGCTCTTGCCAAACGGAGCCTAAATAAAATGTAATCATTTTTAGCTAAGGGAAGGCTGAGAGTACAGTATAGTGTAATTTGCCTGCCTTGCGAACAATAATATCCCAAATTAAAGAGAAGAAAGCATTTCCCATATAATACGGACTACCAACAAATCAAAACTCTATGTACATTTACATTTCAGCATCTGTTTTGGTAGATTCAGATATGAATCAAAATTTTGATTTTTTTTTTTTTTGAATGATCAGTTGGGACCCCAACAGCTCAAATACATGACTGTCCTCAAAGACTCCTCGGATTGCTGCTTCTTGGCCCTCTCTTTCCTCATCGCCGTGCTCGCAACCTTGGCCGAAGACGATGAAGAAAGATTATTTGCCTGAGAGAAGGATCTGAGATTGGTCTTGGCGTGGTTGTGAATTGATCTGGTGGTGTAGTTCCATCTACAGATCCCCTGATCTTTCAAAGCCTCCACAGCTCCTACGCTCGCTGCTGCAACCCAAGCTCTGCTAGTTGAACTCATGTTTTCTTCTTTCTTGAATATCGATTTCGAATATAGTAGATGCAAATCACGAGTAGAGAGAGAATTTGTGAGTATCACTGTTTGTGTTGTGAAGTAGATGGATGGTGTGAAAGTGTTTGTGTAGCAGAGATATATATAGATGATATGATGTGATGTCAAACATTGTTGGAAGCCTCCTGTGAGTGAAGAAGACGGGAAAAAACCAGGGGCGGGTGTCTGTTTTTTAATTTTTAACAGGTGGGTTTGGGAACAAAATATGTGGCCGTGGTGGGGTCATGCGCCCACAGTCTGGTTGTTAAATCGTCCTTTTCAGCCCGGAGTTTGGGAGGAATACCAGTTGTTTTAACTTGTTGCCTTCCTCGTGTGGGGTAAGTTTCCTGAGATAATTATCTAGTAATGAAAAATATTTGCTGGGCACAACCTAGGTAGTTTAAATGGTTCGAAACTGTTAAAATAACGTTATTTTAATTTATTTTGTACTTAAAATGACGTCGTTTTGACAGTTTCAGGTCATTCGAGACACAGAATTTGTGACCACATAGCATTGCTGTTTAGTAATATCATAGTATCAGTATGAATATATGATATTTTATAATATTATAATTAATTGAAAATGTGAGTAGATAAGGTATATTATATTAGGTGATTGGGTAATATAAAAGAACATATCAAATGATAATTGATTAGAAAGTACAGACACGTAATATTTTGAAATTGGGTATAGCTTCTGTCCAGTCCGGGATCGAATTGGACCGGTCCGGGATCAGACTGGACCGTGCTGTTGGGCCTGTGAGGGCCCACCATGGGTTCCGTTTTGATAATCTGAATTGTTGAATGTGTAGAAATTGTCGAGTACTATATGCTTGTAAAAAATCACGTTGATCGGATATCGATAGCTATGTGATCAAAACAGTTTTTTGTCAACTGTTATTTGTTCACCGTCTAATTTTTTTAATACGAAACTGATTGATCATATAGCTATCGATATCCGATCAACGTGATTTTTTACAAGCATATAGCACTCGGCGAGTTCTACACATTGAACGGTTCAGATTATCAAAACGGGACCCGTGGTGGGCCCCCACGGGGCCAACAGCACGGTCCAGTCCGATCCCGGACTAGACAGAAGCCATACCCTTTGAAATTATTGAATAATTTTCGAACATTATGTAATATAAACTTTTAGGACAATTGGAAAAAAAAACATTATAAACTTAAAATAATTATAAAAAGGTAAAAATACAAAACTTAGTTATATAATTTAATATATAAATTGTGTAAGTGAATTTCCGACTACACTGTCAACTCAGTATTCAGCTGGAGAGTACTGGCAGAATAGATGGCACCTGAATAACCTGCAACAGAAAGAGAAGATTCCGGCGGTGGTTCGTCTACCCGGGGGCACTCCGACGATCAAGTCAGTAAAGTATCTCTCAAAGATAATCAATAGTGCTTAACTCACTGTTCAGAATTTAAATTGTGTACCTTTGACCCATGGGGGTGCCTCTCTTTTATAGCCAACTCAATCCTAGTCCCCATAGAAGTCTAGCTTCAATGGACTTCTGCTCAGTGCTTATCCTGGACTCTCCAAGAGATAAAGATAAACTCCCTAAGAGTGTTATCCTTATCCATGCTGAAGTCCTTCCTCATTCTAGGACTCTTGTGCCTTATCCGCTTATCCCGGATTCCGATATCTTCGGAGGTAACTTCGGCCTAGCCGAGATAACCTCGGCGTCATGGACAGGACACGTAGCACCTCGGCTGACACGTCGGCGTCACCTTGGCCACGTGTTGATACTCAGAAAATATATCCCCACAACTGCCTCCTAGGTTCTATTACCTCGGCATTTTGAGGTGATTGAACACTACTTGATTCCAGTACGTCGGTTTAAAATCTCGCAGCCGAGATCATTGTAAAGGCCGACATGTCGTTTTTAAAGAATAAGAATTCCAAGAGCTCCCTCACGTGTATGAGCTGTCAAGCATAATAACTCAACCGTTTTAGCCACGCGTTTTTCCTTTACTGGATCGTATTCAGTACGCGCTTGTAAGTCGTCTTGCGCCTTCATATGCCGTCTGACAAATCCGTCATTCTAGGCTCATCAATTCCATTCTGCCGCATTTTTGTGTTTTTGACAAAATTTTCTTCCTTCCCCCGTCTTTTCACTCTTCTCCATCGTTTCCGAGGCTTTCTTTCTCTCTTTAGCTTTTGCTTCCAAATCCTCCATTGCTGCTTTCATAAAGCTTTCTGCGACCAACTTGTCTTTCTTCTCCGGCAAGGTGTATACCGTATTTCCATGCTTCCGACTACCGCTTGATCCCGGCGAAAATTTTCTTCGGCTTCATTTTTCTGGTAAGTCACTGTTCCTCCTTATTTCAGTTCTTCATTTTTCCACACGCTCTGCCATTTTTGCGAGCTTGCTTATGTCTTTGACTAGTTTAATTTGTTCATGTATTTGAGCATGGTTGCCTTGCGATTCTGTTTTTGCCCAAACCTTTCCTGAGTATTCACACACTGCTGGTACATTTGTTTTACTTTTGCCATTGTTCTTGGCCTTATACCCTTGCACACACTCTATCATAGTGTTCTTGATAGTTCATCACTTTTCTTGATTATGAAACCTTGTTCTTATTTTCTATTTTCTGTGTCTTTTCCAGATTTTGTGCCTTCAATCTTTGTTTCCATAGATCTAGGTTTGGGATTTGTTTGTTGAACCCACAAATCTTAGGAAAAACTGAAACGATTCCCTACAGTTTCTGTTTATTTTTAGGTTTTAGCCGAGGTCCCTTAAACTTTCCAAAATACTTCCTTCTGAAATCCAGCTCCTCCAGTTAAGCCGATATCATGGGAATGTGGAAGCATAGGGTAAACACCCCGACAAAATTAGAATATTTTAGGCGAGAGTTTTCCATCCCTATCGATGCCCATCTGAGGTTGGCTGGGGAGGATGACTTCATCATGCCTACAACTGATTCTATGCCTTTCCCTGTTGTGGCCTTTATTGAGTGTGGTCTTAGGCTCCCACTCAACATCCTTTTTCGAGAAGTCCTCCATTACTATAAGTTGAACCCGATGCAGCTCGCCATCAATTCCTACCGAGTCATCAATGGCATAATAGCCTTAGCCCAACAAGAGAATGCTAGGGTTACCTTAGCCGACATCCAATGCTGTTATACTATGTGTGGCCTTTCACTGAAAGAGAAAGGTTATATCTATTACCTCAAGCCGAGGTCCACAGAGTATAAAATCGTGGCCGACCTCCCAGACTCCAACAAGGGAGCTGGGGATGATTACTTCATTACCTCGGGGAACTGGGAGTTCGCTCCAGACGAGGACCTCCACCTCTACCCTCTTCCTCGAACAGTTTTTATAGAGGGTAATGGCAAGAGCCCAGTGTTTATACTTACTTGTTTTTTAAAATCTCTAATACTTTGATCTAATGTCTATGCTATTCTTTTTTGCAGTTCTTCCTCAGCCACCAAAGGGCTTTCGCCAGTCTTTCTTCCCCAGCAAAGACTTGAGAAAGCTTTTGGATTTGCCAGTTCACAAACGTAGAGCCCCCCTACTGCTTAATTTCATTCCTACCTACAAGTCAGTTCTTCCCGACGTTCCAAAGAAGAAGAAGAAGAAGAGTCAGTCTCCTCCTTCCACCACAACTCCTCAGGCTGCCTCCACATCTTAGCCAGATCAAGGATTGACTTCTGACCCAACAAAGCAGCCGCCAATGCCAGTGACGAACTGTTTTTGCTGCCGAGATGGGCCGTCAGAAAGCAGTTGCTAAAGATCTTTTGGCTAACATTTCCTCTACCGTAGACGCCCAACCTACGCCATCTCAGTCAAAGTCAAAGCAAAAAAGGATAAAGATGGCTCAGTCAAAGGCCACGGTAACTCAGATTGACACTGAGGATACCTTGCCAATTTCAAATTTGGCTTCAAGCGAGAAAACCACCTCCGTCCCCGAGAAGAGGTCTACCGAGGCCGAACCCTCTCAATCAACTCGGTCAAAGAGGCCGAGGTCAAAGTTTGCCACAGCGTCGGGCTCCATAAAGGCTGGCGCCCCCTAGGCTCCACCCATTACATTGGAGGACAAGCTAGTCTTTGTTGAAGATAGTGCCAATGATATCAACGCCGGTGTTTCCCTTTCCACAGCCTTGCTCCTCCCTGGGGATCTCAATCACAACACCAAGATGACTAAGCATGAGAACTTGGCCTTGATGCTCCAGCGTTCTATTCAAGTAAGTCTTCACACTTGGTATCTTTCTTTCTTTTTCTTTTTCTTTTTTTTCTTTTTTTTTTTACTTAGAAAACTTTTCAATAACTTCTACTCTGTTCACTTTCAGGCCATCCAGCATATTCATTCCTTCTCAATGCAAGCCTTTGAGAACCGGAAGGAGCTGACCGATAAGAAAAAGGAGGTCCCCAGTCTGCAGAAGACCAATAAAAGCTTACAATAAAAAATGAAGACTTTGGCAGACCAGGCCGAGGCTGCTGTTAAAGCCAAAGATGATGCCGAGGAGAAGGCAGATTCTGCAGAGGCCATCAAGAAGGTTCTTGAGGCCGAAAAGAAAGAGGCCAAGGAAAAGATGGCCCAAGCCCAGAAAGAACTGCAAGACGCCTTGGCCACGAAAGACGCCGAGCTCAAGGCCACTGATCAAAAGGGATACAAAGAGGGGGTGGCCGATGTCACTTCAGACTATGAAAAACAGGTAAAGCAGGCATGTAACAAGGGTTTCACCCTTGGTTGAATGACTTTGCTGAAAAAGCTCGAAGTCCCCGAGGACTCCCCCCTCAGGAACGCCGACGTCCTTCCTCTTCCGTTCTCCCCAACTCTAAGCCAATCCGACGACGATTCTGAGTCTGAGGAGGAGGCTTTGGTGAGGAAGTCTAAGGAAGCTGCTGGGGCCAAGTCCCTTACTCAAAATGAGCAAGTCCTGGACTTGACTCAAGATGAGGAGGTTGAGGAGGTTCCCAAGGATGCTACTCCTGTGAAGGCATCCTCAGACATGTCTCTCGCCGACAAGAGCCTTAATCAAATTGTTCAGGAAATAGATGCTGAGCTTGCGGCTGAGAAGGCTGCCGAGATGTCCTCCCAGCAGTCTTCTGAACTTTAAACCCAACCATCTGGTGTTGCCGAAGAATCTTAATTTGATCTTCTCCTTCTTTTTTCTGTGCTTCTTTATTTTTCTTTGAA